ACCAGCCTACAGCACGACAACCACGCGTACAACAACGGGGATGACTTCAGCAGCCTGCAGCACGCTGAAAACCACGTGTACAACAACGGGGATGACTTCAGCAGCCTGCAGCACGCTGACAACCACGTGTACAACAACGGGGATGACTTCAAGTAAAGTAGAATAAAGGGTTAATGCACTGCCCCGAGTTGTATATGGTGTCATAACTGCATGAGCAGCTGCCATAACTACCGAATAAACCACCGTGTGAGCGAAGCGAACGAGGTGGTTTATGAGGTGGTTATGGCAGCTGCCCATGCAGTTATGACACCATATACAACGAGGAAAAGGCAGTGCATTAAAATTATTATCATATAGCCTATCCAAACTGTCAATCAACACAATTCCTGTTTGAAATACAACAGCTTTAATATATATACATACATAAAAATACATTCGAATATATTATACGCTTTAAAACAAATATGGATAATTTCATTTAATGCAAATTGTAGTTTATCCTAAACAAAAAAGTTTATTGGACAGAAAAATGCTACAAAGGTTTACAGAAAGAGTCGCATGCCCCTATACCCTATAACATAATGGTATCAGCCATAACACGACATGTGCTGTTATTCCGCCATAACACCACATGTGCTGTTATCGGGAAATAACAGCACGGGTATCCGGGCCTCTGATTGGTCCACGCCGTCCGGCTATATGATAATGAATTTTAACCAGTACTCACCATGTCTTTTAGCCTATATTTGTAGAATTGATTTTGATGAATTAGTAATAGTGCCTTGTCTGTAAGGGTATAGAATTGTGATGGATTTTAAGAATTACACAAGATTTGTATCATGCCCTAATTCAGCCAGATAAGGCTGCAACGGTATGTCTGAGCACGTGTTGCAAATAAACCAGTCATCATCATCAATATCATTCAACAGCCTACAGCACGATGACCCTGACAACCACGCGTACAACAACGGGGATGACTTCACCAGCCTACAGCACGACAACCACGTGTACAACAACGGGGATGACTTCAACAGCCTACAGCACGACAACCACGCGTGCAACAACGGGGATGACTTCAGCAGCCTACAGCACGACAACCACGCGTACAACAACGGGGATGACTTCAGCAGCCTACAGTACGCTGACAACCACGCGTACAACAACGGGGATGACTTCACCAGCCTACAGTACGCTGACAACCACGCGTACAACAACGGGGATGACTTCAACAGCCTACAGCACGACGACCCTGACAACCACGTGTACAACAACGGGGATGACTTCACCAGCCTACAGCACGACAACCACGCGTACAACAACGGGGATGACTTCAGCAGCCTACAGCACGACAACCACGTGTACAACAACGGGGATGACTTCACCAGCCTACAGCACGACAACCACGTGTACAACAACGGGGATGACTTCAACAGCCTACAGCACGATGACCCTGACAGCCACGCGTACAACAACGG